TTCACGTGCCAAAAAATGTAGTTCAGCAAAGACTTTAACAACTTTTAAGACCAAAGTGTCTGGAGGATCGAATGTTCACTGTCCATAGAGATAAAGCTCTTCCCAGAGAAAGAAGAATGGCTTTAGAAAGGATGACAGGATCTAAGGACTCTAAGAACACCTTGCCCTTCTTAGAGGAGAGTGGTTAATAGTATAAAATATGTATAACAGGGCCCTCCCTGGTGGTGCAGCGAGTTAGGGCACAGCACTGCAAGCTAGCCTCAGCCACTTCAGTGCAAGTTCCATCCCCACTCTGGAGGTGACCACATGGCGTAACAGACCTCTCCTCCTGCTGCTCCCCTCAGCAGTATACTTTGTCGATCTGCCTGTTCTGCTCCCCACTCTGTGTCTGGTGAATCCTCTCACTGCCCCTGCACTTCTGGCCTCTACCCTGTTTCTATATAAATAAATAAATAAATCTTTTTAAAAAGTACGTCTAACAAAGTCTACTTCTTTAACCATTTTTTAAGTGTACATTTCAGTGGCTTTTAGCACATGCTCATTGTTGTGTATCCTTCACCACTACCAGTTTCTAGAACTTTAAATCATGTGAAACAGAAACTGTACTCATTAGACACTAGTTCCCCATTCCCTGCTCCTTGCAAGCTGCTGGTGACTACCAGTCTGTCTGCTTTCTGTGTCTGTAAATTTGACTACTCCATGTACTTCACACAGGTGCAGGCAGACAGTATTTGTCTTTGTTTGCTGCTTTCATTAAGCACATATTTTCAAAGTTCATTTATGTTGTTGCCTGTGTGAGAACTTCATTCTTTTTTAAGGTTGAGTAGTTTTCCGTTGTAGGTATATACCGCGTTCTGTTTATCCATTTATCAGCCAACGGCAGTTTGGTTTGTTTCTATCTCTTGATTATTGTGAATAATGCTGCTATGGACACAGGGGCACAGGTTTCTGTTGGCATCTCTGTTTTCAGTTCTTTGGGGTCGAGAAGAGAAGGAATTGCTGTATCATATGATAATTCTATATTTAACTTTTTGAGGAACTGCCAAACTTTTCCACAGTGATCGAGCCATTTCCATTCTCACCTACTACACATGAATGTTCAGTTTCTCCAAGGAGCAAGAATAGTTGCATCACTCAGTACAAACCTGGCCTGCAAGTGCAGAATTTCACATGGAGTAGAGGCAGGACCTACAAATAGACTAACACCAGAGGATGGAGGGACTTGAAGGCTTAGCCCCAGTATTGATACTTTATTGCATTAGGTTATGGAAATATGGTGAGAACTTTTGAGCTTGGGGAAAGGCAGGCTCATTAGAGTGGCACTCTTGAAAGGTTAAGGGTAAAGGAGACAAGTAGGATGAATAAGGCCATGAAAGTGGACTCTGGAAGTGGTAGGTGATTGCAGTTATTGAACCTAGAGGCCCAGGCTTCTCGCAGAAAGGTAGGAAAGGCAACGATGAAAGTGGCGACTCTCTGGGCCCAGCAGTGCCAAACTGGCACAACCTGTGTGCCATATTGAGGGAGGAAGGGATATGAAGGTGTGGAGTGGTGCCTCCTCGAACTTCAGCATCGTGAATTTTGAGGTCTTTAAGTTGAAGACAAGAGATAGAAAGGGGACCTGCATTTGCTTAGCCCCTGCCTGTGAAGCACCAGATATTTGCAGCAGATTGTAGAGCTGTGTTTTGGGTACCAGGAGGGTCCCCATCTATGCAGCGATCCTCAGGCTGGCCCTCTTGAGTAGGAGAGGATAGGATGGGCATTAGGACACTTGCAGAGGGAGCAGGAACTCAAAATTGGACACCTGTGGAACGAAAGAAGGGAAAAGAGGTGTCAGGGTGTCCCAATCAAGATCTAAGCTAGCTCCAGAGTTCTTATTTTGGTCTATGATTCACACAGTACATAAAAATAATACTTTCTTGTAAAATGCTATAAGGAAGGTGTGTGTGGGGGGGTAGTTAGATTTGCATTGCATCTAGTAGCTTATTGGCCAAAACCCCACCCCCATCAGGATGCTTCTGTCCCCCTTCTCAGTCTCTTTATGGTCCCCCACTGAAGGTTTCCAGAAGGCACAAGGATTCACTAGGTGTCTTTTGTGCTTGAAGAAGATGGGGAGTGTGCCCTGGCAGGGGTGTGGACGGGCATGCCTGCGGGTGTGGTGTGTAAATGCGGGGTGTAGGCTTCAGTAGTTGTAGGTTGCAAGAGAGTTTTAAATAACTTATTTAAAAAGGTGGAATTAAGGGATCTACAATCAGATTTATAAGGCATCATTAAATTAATTGGGCAGAGTATGGGGAAATAGGTTAAAAAAATTCGGGGTAATAAGTGTTGCAAGGCGTCATGTATGGAAGATGATGAGAAAGCAGCTGAAACTGTGGCGTTGAGATCAGCCTGGGTGTTACCAGCATAGAAACCAAGGCACGCGCCACGAGGCTTTAGTTCCTGCAAGGTTATGAGGCTCATTACTAGTAGGAATTACTCCTGTCTCTGGGTTTTTTACAAACAGATGCCCATCTTTTGAGGTGGGCTTGAGCATATGCCTATCTGTATTTTCATCTCTGTAGGTTTAGTTTTTAAAAGTTAATGATTCTTATCCTGTAGCTGAGGAAGAAAATAGCAGAAGCAATCCCTGCCCACGTGCATTTTTATCTGTGCGGTAAGCTGTCAGCAGCCTTTGCGCGCGCTGCTGTGTGAGGGCCTGCTTGCTGAGGGCCTGCTTGCTGACACTGAATGACCATCAGCCCCAGCAGGCCTGTTTCAGCTGTGCAGATGGCACTGACCTTCTTCAGAGCCTGAGACCTGGTGGTTTTTCCAACTGGTCAGTGTTTAAGGGTGGGGAAGAACCCATTTCCTTAGCATGGGCTAAATGCCTGAGAGAATGAACAGATTTTGAAGGGAACCACTTAACATTTTCAAAGAACACCTTAGAGCTTCCTTAGAAATAAATCTTTTCTCTTCCATGACTGTCCTGGCAGGGACTCTGAATTGTGTTCCCTTGTGAGCACAGCAAAAGTTTCCTCAGCTGCCCAGCCTTTGAGGACCTTGAGCGATATACCCCGCTACCCAAGGAACAGTGAAGCATCAGGAGAGAGCTTAGTCCTTGTACCTCTGTGCCCAGGTCCTTAAATCATCCATGCTTTGCTGCCAGGTGATGGCATAGTTTGACTCTCTAGGCAGGCCGAGGGGACAGCTGTGAGAAATGAGAGTAGCTTGAAAATTCGCAGCACCACACTTTTCTTTGGCATCTGAAGGAGATCCAAACTTTCAACAGGGTCTGAGAAGCAACAGAACCAGGACTCTAGGAAAAGCACCTTTAAGGCAGAACATGGAGAACTTGGCAATGAAGTGAAGATGTGTGGTTCCCACAAAGGAAGAAAACAGAAGGGTTTGTGAGAGGCCTCTGAACTTGTAGTTGACCACAGGCAGGTGGGAGGTGCATTGTAGCTGAAGTGGGGGTTGAGGGGAAGAAAGATGTGAGCCAGGTAGCATGGCAAACAAAGGGAAAAGATGAGGGAGCTTATCTGGCCAGCTGTGGAATGTTTTCCTTACTATAGTGAAAGCAGCCACCAAACCAGTGATAAGGAGAAGGCAACAAAGTGAAGGGTCCGGGATGGTTGGCTCATTCGATTGGAAAATTCTGTCCAGTCAGGGGGGGCTTGTCCTGAGAGCTGAGCTAGGAGGCTGCGTCTCTTCAGCCTGACAAGTGACAGTGTGGAGTTTCAGGAACAGAGGCATAGAGTGAGAATAGTGTGGGGAGGTCATGAGTAGACTTCCTTCAGCTTCTCTTACTTCTTAACATGCCCTGCTACTGCAGCCTGACAGGAGAGTAATGATGGACTTTATCTTTATGGAGGGCGTGCCGTGTGCCACTGAGGTTTTCATCTCATCACAGGGATCAGCACATTTATTCCCCATGGCAGCCTGTGGGGAAGATGAGACACAGGAAAATTATGCAATTTTCCAGAGTAAACCTTGAGGATGAGGATTTGAATCCAAGCAATCTGGCTCTTAAACCTGAGTCATGCTGCATCTCAAAGCATGCTGAAAGGGTGGTATGAATTTAACAAACATGTGTGCCTGCCACTGTGCTAAATACCTTGTTCTGTCTGCCTTAATGCTTCCAGAAGCTTTCGAAGGGCCACACATAACCATTGTAATGCTGAGCCTCTCCCAGGTACCGCAGACATATCACTATGGTCAACTCATCTGGAACGGCTCGATTTTCTTAAACTGCCGGTACATTGACACCCAACAGTAGTCTTAGATGTACAGTACAGTGCTGTGCACTCTAGATTTTAGGGACTGATTGCCACTGTAAGTCTCGTGAACATTTCTCTCATGCACACGTATTTTTCTTGTAACGAGAACTTTTAAAATCTGGTCTCTAAGCAATATTTAGATGTGCGGTACAGTATTATTAACTTCAGTCGCGATACTGTTTATTCCATCCCTGTGACTCACTTTTTATAACAAGTGTGTGCTTCTTGACCCCCTTCTTCCACTACACCACCTCCCCCAATTTGGCAACCACCAGACTGTCCTCTGCTCAGTCCGAAATGGCTATAATTTGCAGAGATCATTTTAACACACTTTAAAAAACAAAGGTAATAATGATAATATTTAATTAGCATGCAGAAAATGTGGATCAGAAAAAAGACATACCTCCATTTCACATAGTCTCATCTTGACATATTTCCTTATTTAGTCTTTTTAAAATAATTGTACCGATAGTATAAATCTGTTTTGTATCCAATATAACTAACTTTCCCTCATACTTTCATGAAATCTTTATAACTATGATTTTTAAATTGATGGCATTTTGATTTCTTTTGGGATTTTTAAATCGGGAGCCCTTTGAGTTTTCTTGTAATTAGTTGATGTAGAGGTTTGATATTAACTTAATTTTTGTAAAGGGGCATTTTGTCCTAGGTCTCAGCCAGAAAAGAGCACTCAGCAGTCAAGGTTAACTTAAAACTGATCTTCCCTTCCATTTCTGTTAACAGGGATCTACCGAACAGAAAAGGATAAAGGCACTCTGTATGAGCTCACGTTCAGAGGGGACCACAAGCACGAATTCAGACGACTTGTCTTGTTTCGGCCCTTTGGCCCTATTGTGAAAGTGAAAAAGGAAAAACTCAGCATGGCCAACACGCTTATCAATGTTATCGTCCCCCTGGCAAAGAGGGTGGACAAGTTCCGGCAGTTCATGCAGAACTTCAGGTTTGTTCGTTTGCACATGTTTATCTTCCTCAATGTGGTGTGTGTTAAATGCTGATATCATTTCCCGTCATCTCCTTCATTCCCCCTGCCAAATACAAAGGCCCCTTTCTCTTCTCGTTCAACTTTGTTTTTTTTTTCATATAATGTTTATCATTTGTATTTGTTTTTCCCTAAAGAAATTGCGAAACTGCCAGATAAGCATATTTACTTCCAGAAGTAAAAGTTAGATGGGACTGGGTTTTCATCAGCCTCTACAGAGATGGCCCTGGGCCTGCAGTGTGCAGTTCTGACTTGGGCTCAGGTTTGGGGAAGGCAGGGCCTGTGCCAGCCCATCAATGGGGACCTCACAAAGCCACCAGGGGGCGCAGTGGAGCAGTGTCCCTGTGGCCTGGGAGTTGTGCTGGAGACTTAACAGAAGGTGCTCTGGGTTGTCTTCTCCAGCCCTATTTTCAGCTGCAACCAGAATGCACCGATTGAGAATCTAGTTTGGATGTTAACTGACATCCCCTCAGGGATTAATTCAGGATTATGCCAACAAGTTTCCAAACACTCGTTTGTGTTGCTGCCCAAGAAGACTAAGTGGGTTTATTTTCAGGTGCATTAATGTTCTTGCACACGTGTCTTTAAGCTCCTTATTGTGCACTGTGGCACCTTCTGCGCTCTCGTTGCTGGCGTACACAAACTGGTTGAAGTTAATCAGCTAATTAATTTACTTAACTAGCTTGCTTTAAAAATAGAAAGGCCTAAGTGTCTACTTAGAAATCTGGGAGCACTAACAACTTATGTTCACATTATTAAAAGTCAGTATTGCTCAGTGGAGGGGCGTGGTTGATAACATCTCAAGATTCTAGGAAACCAACTTTTTCATAATAGTTGAGGAGTAGCTCTTTTATAAGTAAATTTAAAAAAATTTAAGATTTATTTATTTAGGCATACAGAAAAGGAATACAGCCAGAGGTGCAGGGGCGGTGAGAGGATTCACCAGAGACAGAGTGGGGAGCAGAACAGGCAGATTGACAAAGTACACTGCTCAGGGGAGCAGCGGGGAAGACAGAGAGGTCTACTGTGCCGTGCCACGTGGGTCAGCTCTGGGGTGGGGATTGAACTCGCAGAAGTGGCCACAGCTTGGCTTAGCTTTGCAGTGCAGCACTCCCAACCCGCTGCGCCACCAGGAAGGGCCCGGTAAGTAAATTTTAATGTCAAAATCCAGTGGTTTTAGAGGAGAACTCTGAGATCATTTGGTCAAATTCTGCTTTAGTTCAGAAGCCCTATAGCGTCCCCAGTGTGTGTGTGTGTGCGTGTGTGTGTGTTTGTGTGTGAGAGCTGGGTGACTCCTCCTTCATGAGGAAGGTTGTGTTAGCGTTGACCAGCCCTAGAGAGAAAGCTGCTATCATCTACCTGATTCTGCCTCCCTGTAATTTCTACTCATTTAGTTCCAGCCTCTGAAGAAATAACTGGCCAAATCCATTTCCTCTTAAACATCATAGCCTTCCAAATCGTTGAATAAGGCTTTCACAAGTCTCTTTGTCTTTCCCAGGCTAACCTACAGGAATCCTGCTGCTAATGTACAGGAGGGTGGGCTGACCCTTTGTTTCCAGTTGGTGGGATGTCTCTGTATGGACTGTGGGGTGTCTCTGTATGTAGCACTTGGTCTGTGGCGTCTCCCGCCTCCAGTACTGAAGTGTCTCCATAGCTTTGGCTTCTTCCTTTGATGTCTCTTTCTTCCCCTCGCCTCCCCTTGCTTCCCCACCCTGGCTGAGTGCTGCTGACTGTGTAAGCTTTATGTTCTGAGTATGACCCATCCTGTGGTTGGCACAAAGCATTAAGCCAAATCATTTCTCCCGGCAGTTTGTATGCCCGTTTCTAGGACTAGCTTATAGCAGGTTCCTCCTGCGGGGATGCTGCCTGGAGCTTGCCAGAGTCGGGCCCCCAGTTACCCCAACATTAAGGATCACTGCTGAATACTGGGCGGGGTGTTGTGTGAGTGGCACCCCAGTATCATACCAGCGAGCAGGCAAGCCCTCTATGTAGGACTTAGGGGTTATGATCACGGTTCTCTTACAGTCAACAAGGATTCAAGAAATTAACAGTAGGAATAAAACTAGAAGGGAAATATTGTTGAAAAAGTAGAACTATTCAATTTCACATCTCCAAAATCGAGATGACGTAATAAAAGTAATTCTACTAACTTTTTAAAAACATAAATTTGAGGCCCCGTTCTCTTGATTCACACTATTTGGTTGCCCATCCCTGCGTGAAGCCTGAAGAGGACAAGTGGGAAGATTTGATGCTTGGCTTGGCGCTCTGTGTCTGTGTGTGTGTGCCTGGCACCGGACCAGACACAGGGAAGAAGACAAGCTCATGACGCAATACCTGCCGGCATGGAAAGTAGGTTCAGTGCAGACAGAGCTTGAAGCTCTAGCAAAAGTAGAGATGAAAGAGAGTGGGGCACAAGAAAGACTTCCAGGACAGAGGACAGTGAGCAGAGAAGAAGGCGGAGTGGGACGTTTGCTCTGTGATCCAGGGGTTTCTGCATATGTAGAGGTTTTCTGGGAAAAAAACAGAACAAGAAAACTCAAACTGAGGCCATGTTAGAGCTTAGTAAAGGTGGCCTTTCAAATCGGGCACAGAGAATGGAGTTTTCAGTACCTGGCTTCAGGAAAACTAACCAACCATAGCAGAAAAAAAAAAAATTCTACTGCACACCAAAACCCAAAATAAACTAAACTCTAGTTGACTAAACATTTAAATGCACTTAACATGACCATAAAATTACTTGGAGAAAATGTAAGAGGCTATTTATTAAATATTTCATGCTGCCTTTATGAAGTCCTTTTCACCCCAAGGTTGGAAACTATTAACTGGTTGGCACTGAAGATGACACTGTGAGTGATTTTTATTTCCTTCTTTTGAATTCTATGCTTTGTAAATTTTTATGTAGCTACCATATGTTTTATGTTCTGTTTAAAAATTCAGTGAAAGTGTTTTTTGGCTTTTATAATTTAAACATGATTTTTTAGTTTGTAAAAGTGATGCATGATTATTGTAAGATGGTTAGACAATAAAGAACAAACAGGAATAAACTATTTAAAAACTCACTCTTGATCCTACTTCCATAAATCAACCACTTTTAGCATTAACTGAATGCTGGACTGGGCAACATTCCTTCCACAGATAGAGGGATAAACGGAACACGTCATGAGATGTAATACAAATTCTGTTCTTAATTAAAGAATTACCTTATGTTGTAGAAGAAAATCTAAGTATATTTGATAATCTGAAGAAATAGCTGATATTTAAGCAAATATTTCTCAATGTGTAATACTAATGCCTAAGAGATCCCAGCAATTTGGTAAAACAGTATTTTACTCCCCATTTTAATTTTAGTCCAGATTGACTAAAAAATTACACTAAGAAGATGAACTCATCACAGTTATACTTGTACTGTCTCCTTTGTCTCCTCTCTTTGGCTAGGTGTTATTTCCATCCTGTCAGGTCTGTAACTTTCACATTCTATTTTGTACCCATGGTCCTATTTTTAAATGCATTTGGTGGATTCAGCAGCCAGCCCCTTCCAGTAGTTTCTCTCTTCCTGAGTTCTTGGTTAGATTTCGTGAGCAAGAAGTTTTTCAGGAAGGGTCATGAGTGCTCAAACATAGAATGTCTAATTACATTCTTTATAATTTAAGGGTAACTTACCTGAATTTAAAATTCTTGACACACTCTTTCCTTAGGACTTTTTTGACTTTCTTCTGGCCTTTAATAATGTCAGGGAGAAGTTTTAGGACAGACTTGGTTTTGTCTCTCCTGAAAATTATTCTCTTGGGCCTGAATGCCTAAGGATTTCCTTCTTTAGTGTTGAATCAAAATAACTTAATCAGGATATGTCTCACTTCAGTGTGTATTGTCCTCTATCAGATTTTCCTGTAATCAGTTTCCTTTTTGGTTTGGTAGATTCTTCCATTTCAGGGAGATGTGTGTATGTGTGCTTTCTTTTTTAAGTACTTCTTTTGAATTCTCTGTTTCATAGACAGTTGTATATTTTACAGTTCACCTCAATTTCTCTATTTTGTGATGCCTTATCTTTATAGGTTGTCATGTAAGCTTTGCCTTCTTGTAATTTGATTTCAGATGTATTTATTCTTTAACTTACCATTTCTAATTTATTGGATTGCACAGAATATGCCTGTTAATATTACCTGTGATTTTTTACTCCTTCCTCTTTGAACTTGCTTTTATTAAATTCACATTTTTTTAAGACAGTGTGAACCATTTGTAATATTTTTTCCTTCTGTTTGAGTTATATTTTCATTTAGGTGGGGTTTTCATTTGCTTTTTGAGTTTTTTCCCTGAATTTCCTCTCTTCCTTTAATTTGTTACCATTCTTGAAATGTGGGTGCTCAGGTGTCTTTTCATCTATCTTCTGTGGGATATCCAGAGGGTCATCTCCACTTTCTGGTTGCCCTGATGGAATGGAAGTGGGCTCTCCTTAGTTACCTCTCTGTCTTGACTGAGAACTATTTGTGTCCCACTGCTAGCTATATTGTGAGGCCAAGATGTCCCACTGCTAGCTATATTGTGAGGCCAAGATGTCCTTTCATGTAATTTGCATTCTGAAAGAACAGGTAGAGGAGAGAGACAGTGCAGCTGAGACTTTGTGCAGACTTTGATGGAGGCCCCTGGTCCTTGTGGATCTTTTGACTGTAGGTGAACCAGGAGTTGTACCAGGTTCACTATCTACCTATGATGGACCATTTTCCTGGGGGGCGGGTATATTTGGATTTCAAGTGGCTCCTCAGGTAAGGGCTGTAGCTGGGGCATCAGAGAGAATCAGCCTGTGTGTTCATTTCTCTCATAGCCTCACTGTTGTCTTGAGCATCTCTTTCCATGTTCTTCTGTCACCAAAAAATACCAAAAAAATAAGGTTGGTTGGTGGGAAGAGGAAGATGCACAACTGTGTCTCTCATCCCTTCTCTTTCAGCCTTTCTAAAGGATTTTGA